ACCAGGCTTGATGTTCTATTCCTATTTTTCCACTTATTAGTGTCTCACCCTAAAATATCTTAACTCATATTTCCCATCTGTTTATCAAGTCACATACAATCAGAAGAGGAAAAAAAAAATCACCACTTATCCATGTTGCTGTTTCTGTCAGATGCCATTGAGTCAACTCTGACTCACAGTGACCTTCTGAACAATAGATCAAAACCTTGCCTAGTTTTGTGCCATATACTAAAAATTTGCTGTGCTTAAACTGATTGTTGCAGTTTCTGCATTAATAATGTTTTTTTTTCAGGAGTTGGACCATGCCTAAAGTATGTAATATAAAGTCTCATCCTCCTTGGTTCTCGAGAGGACCATGGCTGCAGCTCTTCCAGGAGATTTGTCTGCTCTTGTGGCTGTCCTTACTATAGTCAGTACTCTTCACTGACACCACACTACAAACGCATCAATTCTTCTTTGGTCTTTCTTTCCATTTTCCAGATTTCACATGCAAATGAAAAAAGAGAAAATATGACATGAGACAGGTGTACCTCAGTCTTTACAGTGACATCTTTACCTTTTAGTACTTTTAAGAAGTCTTTGATGGCACATTTGTTGAATGTAATATGTACTTAGATTTCTTGACTGCTGCTTCTATGGGTGTTGTCTATTTATCCAACTGAAATGAAATAATTGACAACTTAAATCTATTCTCCATTTATTATGATGTTCCCTATTGATACCGTTCTGAGTATTTTAATGTTATTGCTGTTGATCTTCATCCTGAAGATCCTTAGATCATCTTCAATGAGAGTTTCAAGTCGTCCTCATACTCAGCAAGCATGGTTGTGCTATCTGCATAAAACAGCATGTGGCAGAGTTTTCCTTTAATCTGAGGCCACATTCTTCTTCATAGAGTCCAGAACTTATTCTACCACAGCCTTTATCCCATTCATCCATAGTTTCCTAAAGCCCAGGGTTGGATAAATCAGAATAAGAAACAGAAAAATGGAGATAGATGATGGTAGTGTGGTGGTTGTTATGTGCCGTCGAGTTGCCTGTGACCCATAGTCAACCCATGTACAGCAGCTCTGAATCCTGCCCTGTCCTCATCCAGTCTCTCTAATTTTGACACACCAACCCCCATTGCCCCAGTGACTGTATCAATCCTTCTCATCCGGGGTCTTCCTCTCCTGTGCTTTCCCTTCACTCTTCTGAGCATGATGTCCTTCTTCAAGGACCGGTCTCTTCTGGATATGTACCCATAGTATGTGAGACAGAGCTTTAAAATCCTAGCCTCCAAGGAGAAACTTGGTTTTACCATCTTTAGGACAGACTTATTTGTTTTCTTGGTAGTCCATGGTATATTCAAGACTCTACTCTAGCACCACAACTCAAAGGCATCAATTCGTCTTCTGTCATTCTTAGTCATTGTCCAGTTCTCTGATGCATAGCAAGTAATTGCAAAGACCATGGCCTGGATTAGGCGCACCTTAGTCTCTAGACTGACACCATTGCTTTTCAGCACTCTGGAAAGGTCCCTGATAATAGATTTTCCCAGTGCAATTCGTCTTTTGATTTTCTGACTGCTGCTGCCAAGAGTGTTGATTGTGGAGCCGAGAAAGCTGCAATTGTTAACAACCTCAATCTCTTCTCCATCTATCATGGTGCTGTCAATTGGCCCAGTGATGAGAATCTTTGTCTTCTTGATGTTGAGCTTCAATCCATATTGATGATGACAGTTCTTGACCTTCTGCAGAAAGCACATAAGGTCCTCTTCAGTTTCAGTACAGAAAGGAGTGAATAGGAAGAATTAATGGAGCTGCCAGGAACCTTTTATTAAAAGCCAGAAATAAAGTTACTAAAACACTGGAATAAAACAGGACTCTCTTAGTAAAAATATTTATCTCCACATCTTTCATTCACCATGAAATTTCACAACCCTTAATTTATTTGAAAATGAAGTATTTTATTTCACTGAGATTATCATAATGATAGACTCTTTTTTTTAAAATGGTAACAAAAAATGTGGATTCTGTAATGCTAATCATAATGTTTATAGGCACAATGATAATGGGTTCCATTCTACAATGTGGTTGGAGTGAAGTAAAATAGAATAAAAATTTGCATGTGTCTCTTTTATTCTTAGACAATATATAAAGATGAATATGGAAGTTGGACAATGAATAAGGATGAAAGAAGAAGAATCTAAGCCTTTAAATAGTGGTGTTGGAGAAGAATACGGAATATCCCCACAGTCTACCAAAAGAGCAGAAAAATCCTAGGGATTTCTGACCCTCTCTTCTTTCTATCTCCTTCTCCTTTTCCCCTTTCCCTTTTGAACATATATACACATCTTGCCTAGTTATCCTTCTATTTTTATAATAATGGTCTTACACAGTGTTTTTCTTTGTGAGACGGAGATGTTTCACTCAGCATAATGCTCTCTGGACTCTCCCATGTTATATAATGGTTTATGGAATTGTTCTTTAGTGTTGCCTAGTACTCCATAGTGTGATTGTACCACAATTTCTCAATCCATTAATTTTTTGATGGGTATATGGGCCATTTACATTTTAGCTGAGGTTAGTGGGCAGATAAGGGTATGTGTGAAGGAAAAGAAAGGATTCAATTGGAACTTAAAAAGATGGATCAATCTTAAGAAGATTTATAAACATTAATTATATAAAATACAATGTAAAATATGAATGAATGTATGTAATGATACATGTAATTCATGTTCAATGTACATGTATGAAATATATATGAATGATTGAATGCAAATCAATGAAAATATGACGACACCCCCCCAATTTGTTTGTCTTGGAAGAAGTGCAACCAGGGTGCTCTTTAGAGGCAAAAATGGTAAAACTTTTGCACACCCATGTTTATTGCCGCTTTGTTCACAATAGGAAAGAGTTGAAAACAACCCAAGCACCCATCAACAAATTAATGGATAGAAAGGCTTTGGTATATTCACACAATGGAATACTACGCTGCACTGAAAAATAAAGAACTTATGAAATATTATACAGATGGGTGACTCTGGAGGACATTATGCTGAGTGAAATATTTCATTCACAAAAGGACAAATACTGCATAGTGCCACTGTTGTAAAATGGGACTGACATCAGGGTGGGGGAAACCTAAGAAATGAGGGGATAAATAATGTATAGCACATTGAAGCAGATGAGGGAGAGAACTGTTTAAAAGGAATATAGAATTAGGTATTATTTTCCTGACAAGATTCCAGAAAAAGAAATGCATAGTAAAGTGGACTGTGGACTTGAAGGGGGAGTTTGTATAACAATGAAATAATTTTTTTTTCTTTTCAAAGAGAAAAAATGAACTGGGGTGAGAGTGGGCAGGGAGGAAAATGTGCAACAATGAATGAATGGAGGAAAAATTAAATGGAAAGAATATGCTGTAAAAATATATGTGCTGCATCATTTTCTTCTGGACATAGAGCTTACTGGTCCTAAAAGGCTTCTGAGGTCCCAACTCTTCTCACTATCTCTTAGTTGTTGGAATGGACAGAAAACCTCATAAGCAGTTCCTTACTTCACCTCTACCTTGCGTGTGAACTTCCGAGTTGTAAAACAGCCCAGTGGTAGATGGAATTT